CCTCCGAGCAGCGCCAGGAAAGCCGGTGTCTGTACAAGTTCTGTCACAGCGCCGTGGGGAGGGAGGGGAGAAGAAATAAAGACAAAAAGGGGGAGAGAAAAAAAAATAAAAATCAAAAAACCCAAACCCCAAGGAAACAAGAAAAACAACCCAAAACCCGTGAAGCTGTGGTGCTGCGGGGAGGGCTCAGGGGATGCCAAACTGTACAACCAGTTCTTCTTTGGCGTCGACGCGGATCTGTGAGAGCGCGCTGAAGGCGTAGGCGGCTATCCGGGACACCTGCAGGCGCAAGCGCAGCACCCGGCCTCAGCACCGGCTCTGGAAAATGCCCTTATCCACTCCCCAAAAATGTCACAAACCCACAAAAAAATCCTTATCCCAAAGAAAATGCCGTGGGTGACGCCGGCACATCCTACCCCGTGTATTCAGCGTTGCTCCGAGCACCCACTACCCCGACTCTAGCGCCTGCTGACACCCACCTGCCCATAGGACAGGGAGCAATTCGTCCCCGTCCCAGAGGACGCGCTGGGGCAGGGTTGTGGCCTGGGAAGCGGGATGAGGGGTTTGTGCTGGCTGCGCCAGCCCTCCTGCAGCTCCAGGGACCGACAAGTAGACCAGAACCAGCCAGGGGGAACGGGGAGACCCACCCCGTAAAAGCTGGGAGCCACGCTGGGACTTTTCTGGGTGTTTAATGGGAAAAGCAGCAGCTCCTGCTGCAAAAAGAGCGATTCCCCAGCAGCTCCTTTCTTGAAGTGGCTGCGGGACTCGCTGGGAGTGAAGCTGCCGGCACCGCCAAACCCCCTCCTGCCACGAACGATCCTCTGACAGGACTGGATGAACTTTAGAGCCACTGCCTGCGCGGTTACTGCACTAGAAACCCGTCCCCAGGCTTTGCCTTCAGCACCGAGTCCTCCCAGGCTGCTGAAACTTGGGATTTTGGCTTTATCACTGACACCGTGACTCTCACAGGAGCCCCAGCACGGCCCGTGCTCCTCTGGTGAGGCTGCACTGAGCTGAAGACCCTGCGAGTGGATGCTGGGACCCTCCAGCACAGCTGTGCTGCCACAGACAAGCTGGAGGAGCGGCTGGGGGAACTGGGGGGGTTCAGTCTGGACAAGAGGAGGCTGAGGGGAGACCTCCTGGCCCTCGGCAACTCCCTGCCAGGAGGGGGCAAAGAGGGGGGATGAGTCTCTGGAGCCAAGGCCCCAGCGCCAGGCCCCGAGGGAATGGCCTCAAGCTGCCCAGGGCAGGGTCAGGCTGGCTCTGAGGAAGGATTTCTGTGCAGAAGGGGCTGTTGGGCGTTGGAATGGGCTGCCCAGGGCAGGGGGGAGTCCCCGGGATCCCTGAAGGGGTTGAAGAGTCGGGCTGAGCCAGCGCTGAGGGATCTGGGGGAGTTGGGAACGGTCAGGGGGAGGGTCATGGTTGGGCTGGAGGAGCTGCAAGGGCTTTTCCAACCTCCATGATTCTGGGAGTCTGTAAAGTTATCGCTGTCAGAGCTCCTGGTAAGCCAGGATGGTGACATTTCACCCCCCGTGTCTCCACAGAGCACTGAGGGGGACCCCAGGGACCAGCTCGGGGGGCCTGAGTTTCCCCCCAGCCCCTCTCACCTGCTGCAGGTCTGCGAAGGGGACGGGGTCACTGGCGAGCACTTGGTGCGGTTGGTTGGTCAGGGACGGCAGCAGCGGGAGCTTCTTCCAGTGCGTCAGGTTGTTGCTCAGCATGGCCAGGCGCGTGCTGCCGAGGGGAGAGCACCGAGCGTCGGTGCCGGCACCGGGGGAGAAACGCACCGGGGAGCCCCCGGGCTTGGCACAAGATGGTGCCACACCTCCAGGCACAAGCACTGGGCAAAAGCCATGTCATTCCCAGCATCCACCCCCGAGACGGGAGGACGAGGGAGCTTCCAGCTTGCCCAACACAGGCGTCTTTTCAAGCGGGAGCAACCGCTTCCAGCCCCCCTATGCCGGGCAAGGGAACACAGGAGCCCTTTGTGCACCACTGCCCTCGGCTCTGCGGCGCCAGGAAGGTGGAGGGGAGGAGCGGGGCTGAGAACCAACTTCCCCGGGTGCAGGGAGCCCAGCTCCACGCAGAATTTACTCTCCCAAGGTTAAAAATCGCCATGTGAAGGCAGTTTTGAGGGAGTGGGGCAGGTCCCACCTGTACTGCCTGGCTCTGTCCATGTACTCGTGCTGCTCCATGCCCTGGGAATCGGCTGCCGACACGTCGATGATGTTGCTGCAGAAACACAAAGACAGTGGGTCCAGCTGCAGGCTCGTCGCTCCCCACAAATATTCTCCCTGTCTCGGGCAGACCCAGCACCCACCCCAGGATTTGGGCCCCAAAACGAACAGCTCAGAGGCCAAACTCGCAGCACAGATGCTGCCACCGTGCCGGGCTGGAGCAGTTGCTTGTCAGGATTGAAACATCAAGGGACGTTTGTCCCAAGACAGACGGACACAGAGCTGGGGGCTTCGCTCCGCAGCCCCCCCCGGCACAGGCCAGCCCACACCCCGGGGACCTCAGCATGCAGCTGCTGGGGAAGGAGGCTCTGCCATGTCACTGCAAGGATTAAGTGCTTGGCCGATGGCCTGAGAGCCCCAGTACCAAGCCCTGGGCTCGGAGAGGAGCTGGGCGCTTGCCCAGGTGTGTGCCACAGCCTGGCCGCATGCCCCCCACTAAGAAGAGTGGCCCTTGGGGCTGCTGTGGGACACACACTGGTTGCCACCAGCTCCTTCGTGGCAGGCAGGGGAGCAGCAGGGCCCACAAACAACACACATACACCACACACACACACACACACACACACACGTGCATATTAGGGGGCTGCCTCTGCAAGGAGAAGCGTCCCCATGTCCCCCCAGCCCGAGAAGAGGACATAGTGCTGGTGTCCCAGAGTCCCTCTCTCCACACCACAAGGACTCACTTTTCCCAGTTTAGGGCTCCCCAGTTCTGGCTGCTACCCCCAGCCCAGCAGCCAAGGGGTCACCTCACACCCGGGGTCTCATCTCTGCACCCCACAGGGCTCAAATCAGAGGGAGGGGGGCTGTCTGCGAGCAGCCCACCCCCACCAGCACTGTGCCAGGTCCTGCAGCCGTGGCTGCTCCCCCCCCAGCACCCCATGGCATGTACGGCACGAGCCTCACATGGCTGTTTTGGCGAGGATGGAGGAGAGCATGGCCTGCTCGTCGGTGCGTGCCGATGGGAGGTTGTGGTAGCTTTGCTCTGCGCCATTCAGCACCTTGTTGGGAGGGCTGGCTGCTGGCTCCAGCAGCCGCTTCGTCTCTTCTTCCTGGAAAAAAGCAAGAGGAGGATCAGCGCCAGCTGCCTCACATGTCCTGAGGTAGCCCCGGCACAGTCCCAGCTCTGCTGAGGCAGTGGTCAGACTCCTATTCCTCATTTTTTTCTTTTTCCCCTGCTGCCACAAAAGGAGTGAGCATGGCTGAAATCAGGCAGCAGGGGCCACCAACCCTACAGGCAGAGCGGGCATCCCCACGGAGGATCCCGAGCTCCCACTCAACGTGCTGGCACCAACCTGCCCAAAACCTGGTGCCTAACGAGGATGCACCTGTCGCATCCCCAACCTGCCTGAGCAGAACCCACCCCGGCCCGGGGAGGGCCGGAGGGATCCACCAGCCTTTCCTCACGTCCACGCTGGCACAAAAACGTGGCTTGTGTGGGTTATGGTGTGGCCACAGCCCAGGGGCACCCGGGGTGAGCCAGCAGCATGGTTGCTCCTCCATCAGTGACTTCTCCTCGGCCAGCAGCTCCTGCTGCTCTTCCTCCCACCGGGAAACACCATCACAATCCTCCAGTCCAGGCCTCTCTCCATCCCTGCAGTACACTCAGGAGCAGCATGGCTCGGCCACAGGTCCCCCTGGCAACTGAAGCGCTAACAGACAGCCGGCCCAAGCCAGAGTTGACCTACAGATGAATCCTGTATATTTTATAACTGATAACCATTGTGCTAGCAGGTATTGTACTAAGTTATAACAAACCACCTGTGGTGATGGAAAAGGTGGAAGTGTTGAAACCTGAGCAACAGGCCCTGAGCCGAAGCTGCTCACTCAGGATGTAATCGTTACTGAAATATGTATGGAAGACATAGCTATACTCAATATAGCTTTATCTTTCTTTGTGTGTGGATAAAATAATATGGTCACGGAGTCAGTTGTCTGACCCTGCGACCTGATGTGTGAACTTGCTTGTAATCCCATCAGTTAAGCAGAGAAAATCCCTGAGCTTCTCCCTTGAGCCCTGGCCAGGCTCTGGGGGAATCTCATGTGAGAATGAAACCAGGTATTTCCGCTCAAAACAAAGGTGCCGGCTATTATGGCATGCTGATTTTTGGTCTGTAAGGCCAGACCTGCCGGCCACAACTTTGGATGTCTCAGCTACGGGTAGACACACCCCGTAGGACCCCCCACTTGCCAGGACAGGCTCTGTAAACCCTCGCTGCACCACGTGCCAGCGACTGGGCTCTGGATGCTGGGAACGGGTGTCAGTGGTGATGGATCCTTCTTAATCACTGCTCTCTCTCAGGTAGTAATAATTTGATGCATCATTCTGTATTTTCCTATTTGTTTAGGTGCGCTATTCTGTCATTTCTTACTGTACATTTTCTGTACTATTCTACATTATTTAGTTATCGCCAGTAAAATGCCCCTACTCTTTTCACTCTGCTGTCTGAGTTTAATGGGTATCCTTAATCAGCAAAACAGCCATCACAGCTGAGCTCACTGGCAGGGCACAGGCAGTGGCTGCCCGCACCGTGGATTAAATTTCCGCAGGACAGGTGACAGCCCCGATTTTGCACCACACGCCCCCCCCTGCTGCGGCCCCCCCAC